TATACATGAAATTATTCAATTATGTTTTACAGTCAAATTATAAAAAATATTATTATCCATTGATAAATGAATTGATTTTGATATCGATCAATAAATAAATCTAAATGAGAAATATTATTTATACACCTATTACTACTTATTAACTATTAATATATTTATTAAGAATTAACAAACTTTATTTTATTGTCATATACCTATATAACTATAATAGCTAAGGATAAAATAAAGTTTTAAATATAAACTTTTTTATTCGGGTTGTTGCGCGAGGCCCCTGCAAGAGCGAGGCCCCGGGCGATTGCCCTGCTCGCCACCCCCTAAGGCCGCCTCTGTGTATCTATCATGTTGAGATAATTCCTTGTTTATTTGAAATAACTTTTTACACTTCTCAGTGAATTCTTCTATGTGATGGTCTTTATCTGTAGTTTTAAGATTACATTTATATGTTTCTTATAACTATTAAAAAAGAAACTAACTAATAGGTTTCATCGTCGTTCACTGTCGATTTGGCTGGCCCAGGGCATTTGACAGCCGACCGCACAGAACCTAGCCTGAGAACGACAAGGGCAGGTCAAGGATTCCTATCTAATGTTAGGGAAATCACTGTAAGTCTGTAACTGTCGGCGACCAGATGTATAGGCCAGGGCATAACAATTGGAAAAAGCATTGTAATTTAAATTATTATTTTTTATTCGTAAAATGATTCCAAATCCACAATTTATTGTTTAACTGTCATTATATTTTCATTAAATCGCTTTAATAGTTTTTTCTACTCATATTTATATATGTAACAGTAAAGTATTATTTTCCTATTTGTATAATAGGACAAAAATAAAAATGTCAAATTTATAACTTTCCTAATTAAAACACTAATCATTTTTAAGGGAAAAAAAATTTACTATCTTAAATTTGCAAAATTGCTCTCCTAAATTGCTATACTATTGCAAGTCGCTATCCTAAATTGTAAATTATTATCTTAAATTGTAAATTGCTATCCTAAATCTGTGAAATTCCTATCCTAAATTGTAAATTTGTAAAATTGCTATCTTAAGTTTGTAAAAAAATAATAATTTCTGTCCTAAATTTGTGAAGAAAATAATATTTTAGTGTCATTTTAGTGAATTATCAAAGTACATTTTAAGGATTTTATATTTTTTTCACCTAATTTTACTCATCAATCGTGAACTTATTTGATTATTTTCAGTGTATTACATTTGAAACAACGAATATTATTTCATTGCTTATATTTAAAATGTATGAAATTATGGAATAAGATATGTACATACTTAATACACTTACTGTACAAGTAGTATATAAATGTTGATATGAGTGATGTTTGTATTACCTTGATAATTATACTGACTAACAATGGTTTTACATACAGTACGCGTCTAAAGTATGGAATAAATTCAGTAAAAACGAAACAATTTTTTTTTGGGAAAAATCCTCGAACAGGTCGATTTTTAATTTAAAAAATACATATTTTAGCATAAAAAGTGATTTTCAACTGTCATTTGTTTTCGAGTAATGACGTCATCGGCATTTTTTTTAAATAACAACTCCCTATTTTTTGTCTTGATTCTGATTGATCGTGTCATTGTCGATCCAACAGTATTAAAATGTTGCCATCTTACATAGGAAAGTTTTCGAGTAAATGGCGATTGAATGTTAGAAAACCCAAATCGATTAAAATAAAGCAAAAACGTTATAGTCCAGTCGATAGAGGCCGAAAAGTTACTGTTGGTGACGTTTTCTTGATAACTCGGAAATAACTACACAGGAATACTTTAAATGATGAGTACAATAACAGGCTAATTTGCTGACAAAGTATTTTATCAGGAAAAAGTTATTAACAATTTAATCGTGAAAAAAAATTTTTTTAGTACTTTTCTTTAAATAACTCAGCGGGATGACTTTGTACGAAAAAATGCTTAGGACATGATTTTGTTCGTAATAAAAATAGCTACAAAATGGCGGTGGTCCGATTACGAAATTTGCAATAACAAAGCCGTGAGATTGAAAAAACGGTATAAAACGTCAATTTTTTAAAGTTGCTGTAAAAATGTCAATTATAAACAAAAAGTGATAAAACTTTCGAAAACTATAGTTCAATATATATACAATAATGACGCTAAAGCCGAAAATCAGGAGAGCAAAACTTTTTGTTCTATAAGGTGTTATACATTCATCGGCATCTGAAACTCGAAACTTTGCCAAATTTGTTCGAAGCTTTGCTGACACTTGAAATTTGGTACACACATAGTGTAAATATGCAGAAACCAAAAGCAATTTGCAAAATTCAAGTATCTTCATTTTTGCAGTTTTGGTAAGGTTTTATACGTCACCCTAGTTTTATACGTCACCGTTTTTTTAATTTTTGGACGTATATTTATGTATATTTATAAAATATTCCATTACGGTAGATTAGCCAGCATAATTACCTACAATTTAAAAAAATATATATTTTCATCGTTTAGATCCTAAGCTACTTAACATTTTGCGCCTGTTAGCCGTAGTCGTACATTATTCAACATATTAACATAAAACAAAATCGTACGTGTGGGGTAAACCTTTAACTTTAAGTAAACAATTGTTTAAATTTACTGTTGCATATTTCTAATAGTATACAAGCGCCGAAGAGCGGAGCTCGCGCTCGAAAATGAAAAGTTAAAGGTTTACCCCACACGTACGATTTTGTTTTATGTTAATATGTTGAATAATGTACGACTACGGCTAACAGGCGCAAAATGTTAAGTAGCTTAGGATCTAAACGATGAAAATATATATTTTTTTAAATTGTAGGTAATTATGCTGGCTAATCTACCGTAATGGAATATTTTATAAATATACATAAATATACGTCCAAAAATTAAAAAAACGGTGACGTTTAAAACTAGGGTGACGTTATAAAACCTTACCAAAACTGCAAAAATGAAGATGAAGATGAATTTTGCAAATTGCTTTTGGTTTCTCCGTATTTACACTATGTGTACACACCTTACAGAATAAAAAGTTTTGCTCTCCTGATGTTCGGCTTTATCGTCGCTTACAGCAACTTTAAAAAATTGACGTTTTATACCGTTTTTTCAATCTCACGGCTTTGTTATTGCAAATTTCGTAATTGGACCACCGCCATTTTGTAGCTATTTTCATTACGAACAAAATCATGTCCTAAGCATTTTTTCGTACAAAGTCATCCCGC